GACCAGAGCTCACGGGGAGAGTGTTTATTCCCTGGCTGCTTCCCCGCAGGACCCTGGCTTGGAAATGCCCGGGTACTTCTCCCCGTGGCCCTCGCTCTTGCTTCTCTGGGTCCTGTCCCACAGCTGTGCCTTTTGCCTGGGTCTGCAATCGGCTCCCTCCTGGGCTAGGGGTGGTAAGAGCTTCTGTTGTTCAGCCCTGGGAGCTTCACTGCCTGGTGTTGTTTTCTCGCAACTCTACTCTTGCTTTTGTTATCAACTCTTTCTCTGATGGTCTCTCTTTTTAATTTTATATTGGAGCATGCTTGATTCAGGCTTCCCAAGTGGTGCTGGTGATAAAGGACCCGCCTGCCAATGCAGGAGATGTAAAAGGGTTTGATTCCTGGATTGGAAAGATCCCCTGGAAGAGAACATGGCAACCCACTCCAGTATTTTTGCCTGGAGAATTCCACAGACAGAGGAGCCTGGCGGGCTACAGTCCACGGGGTCGCAAAGAGCAGGATATGACTCAAGCGACTGAGCACACACGCACGCATAGTTGATTCACGGTGTTGTGTTAGTTTCCGGTGAAAAGCAAAGTGATTTAGTTATACACACTCATACATCTCATTCTTTGTCAGGTTCTTTTCCCATACAGGTTATTATAGAGTGTGTGCATGCTAAGTTGCTTCAGTCATGTCTGACTCTTTGGGCATGGACTATAGCCTACCAGGTTACTCTGTCCATGGGATTCTCCGGGCAAGAATACTGGGGTGGGTTGCCATGCCCTTCTCTAGAGGATCTTCCCAATCCAGGGATTGAACTCGCATTTATTTGTCTCCTGCATTGGCAAGCAGGTTTTCTGTTTTTTTTCTTCACCACTAGTGGCACCTGGGAAGCCCTATTATGGAGTAGTGAGTATTAATAGAATTCCCTGTGCTCCACCGGAGGTCCTTGTTGACTGTCTCTTTTGGTTAGTTAGTCTCTGGCAGTCTCTTCACTTATTCCTTTGACTCTGTCATCCATCTGTTTTCTCCCAGTGCCCTGACTGATAGAGTTATTTCCTGGTTATGACTTTAGCCTGTACATGTATCAATTGTTCTGTTTAAATTTGCTGTACATGAAAGCTCTGAGGCTATCTTGCAGGCTACGGAATAAGACTTGTAAACGTCCTCCTGCAGGAAGAACAGTGAATACATTCAGAAATACTTATCTACACTTCTAATCTCAAAACCAGTCGTTAATTATTAATTAAGGGCTTTTATCTTCGCTAGAAGTTTCAAAGTAAGAAATTACTGGCTAAATTTAGCTTCCTAATGTGAAATGCAAGACAATATTTAAACACTTGTAAAATATAATTATACTTTCACTATTACTTTCCTATTCATTATTAGCCACGGGATAAAGCATTAAATCAAACACAATGTAAATCTGGCATCTAATCTTTGCTAGTACAAGTGTTTTCCAGTGTTTAGTCTTTGCCTATGATGTATGTAATTACATGCCACATAGAAGTGAAAGAATAAATAACCAAATAAAATCTTTTTAATACATTGAAATGCTCATTGTTCTCCAACTGCACATTAGCTTAACACCATCCCTTCCCCAAACTAGTTCATTGCTACAACAGATATTTATTGCATACTTCTATCAGTCTTATAGTCTGTGATGTGGGAAGTTCAAAAGATTCCTGGAGAATGACATCCTGTATTCTAGAAGACTCCTTGACAGTGTCACAAGCCCATTAATCATTGGTTGGTAAGAAGTAAAATGAAACCCCAAGTTTAATCTTTCTTTACAGAAAACAGCATAGCAGTCAGCAGGTACTTAGGACCCAGCCAACCAGATATTAGAATGTATGAAAAGAGCAGTCTTCATGCATCTCTAATAAGTTGTTCCTTCTTACTCTAAGTGAGAAGTCAAGTTATGGCTTCAGGACTCTTCTCAGATAAGCCAAGAATAGTCAATAGATAAAAGCACGTATGATACTTCTGTATCTGCTACCCATTGAGACCTCAAAGAGTAGGATAGGAATACCTGAAAGACGGATACTGAGCCCTCCATATTTAATTACTTTCTGAAAATAAGCACATGTTAATGAACTACAAGGCCATTTAGAAGACTAAATAGCACCTTATCTCCCAAATTCCTTCCAAACCCAGAATCTGGTATTGACGTTGTTTGTAGGAGACTTCTAGGCGCCTCTGTGTGTTTGGTGGTCAAGGGATAAGGGGAAGGGAATATTTAAATAAATGGATTGAGCTGATCTATTGAGAAGACCTTGACAGATATGCCCAAAAAGGTTATGGGTTTCCCTGGTGGCTCAGATGGTAAAGAATTTGCCTGCAGTGCAGGAAGCCCAAGTTTGATCCCTGGGTCAGGAAGATCCCCTGGAAAAGAGAATGGCTACCCACTCTGGTATTCTTGCCTGGAAAATGCCATGGACAGAGGAGCCTGGTGGGCTACAGTCCATGGGAGTCACAAAGAGTCAGACATGATGAAGCCACTGGGCACACATGCGGTAACATTATAGGTTGCGGTGACATTATAGGTTGCGGTGACTACCAACAAATTTCTGACTCTGTTAAACAAGACCTTAGGATACTTAAAGCTTCCACACTTATTTATTAAAGCTTGATAAAATGTTGTTACAGTTTTAAAAGATATTGATGGAACTTATTTTTCATTTTTAGCTGTAATCAAGGGAAATGAAATAATTTTAGGTGTCGGGGGAGGTCTAATTAGAGTTGTGGGGATTTTTGTTTGATTTTTTGTTTTAGAATTATTCACAGTAACCTCCAAACCTGGAATGATATAACAGGATGTCATATATATATATATATATATATATATATATCACAAAAGGTAAAATTTACTTTAATCAATATTCAATTTTATTACTCAATCACAGTTTCAGGGGCTGATTTGGAAATTTGACATATTCTTGGCAGTTCCTACATTGGATTGCTTCAACTGCATGTTTAGGCTTTTCCACTTAAACTAAGATGACATGAAATCATGTGTTCTTTTGACATATTTGCTGATTGCTTCTTCAAAACCATTGAACTCCCACTTTGGTGAAACACTTAATATGTTTAGGTTTTTCAAAGTCACCTCTGCTTGGACTTCAAACTGGTGCTGTGCTTCCTGGTATTAAAAGTAAAAGGGAAGGTGAAAGTGTTAGTCACTTAGTCCTGTCCAACTCTTTGCGACCTGGACTGTAGCCCGCCAGGCTTCTCTGTCCATGGAATTCTCCAGGCAAGAATACTGGAGTGGGTTGCCATTTCCTTCTCCAGGGGACAACTTCCTGACCTAGGGATCAAACCCAGGCCTCCTACATTGCAGGCAGATTCTTTACCATCTGAACCACTTGGGAAGTCCAAGGGGACCCTGTAGGTGCATGGGCCGGGAATCGAACCCTGGCCTTCTGCATAGCAGGCAAGAATTCTACCACTGAACCACCCATGTCTATTTAGTTGCGAGGGGGCGGGGGGAAGAACACCTATTTTCTTACTACAAAGGTAAAGGACTGTATTAATGCTTGAAGTCTCTTGTAGTTGTGATGCTCAGGGAAAGAAATTACCTTAATGGCTCTTCATTTGTCACCTCTAGAAACAAGCAATTTGAATATTTCCTTTATTATGATATATTAGAACTTCATTAATAAGGAAGTCTTACAAATAGGCTATCATTTTTTGAGAAAGATCACACTGTGCTAAATAATGAGATATGGGAATATATCGAACAACTTGACTTCTGCTGACTTTTACTTAAGAGCATGAAGTATTTTAAATTAGACTGTGTTAGTATTGATGAAACATGCACAAGGTGGGGAATGATTTAAAGGCTTTATTCTGTTTGGGGAGCTAGATAAATTGTATAATTTGAAACTAAAGCTCTGTGACCTGGCAGTAAGGAAACAACTCTTAATATACTGTTGGAGAGAGTGAAATTGGGGCTACCTTTTTAGAAGGCAGTTGAGTAATGTTGATAAAATTTACAATGCATTTACCCATTGACCCAACAATTACACATAAAGATTTGAATTCATCCCTAGATAAACTTGTAAAAGTACACCAGATTAGATGTTAAGAGTGTTCATGATAGTATTTTTGAAATAGCAGAAGAAAAACATTGCAAAAATAATCTAAATACACAGCAATAAGGGAATGTTTAAATTAAATATATTCATTAAATGGAACACCCCAAACCATTAAGAAGTATAAGGTAATTCTGTATATGCTGATATGGATACAGAATTACCTTCTATCAATATGTGTTCATAAGTAAGTCATCATTGTTGGTTTTTACTTTTATACACTTAAAAAACTCAGTAAATAATATTCTTGGAGAAGGTAATGACAACCCACTCCAGTATTCTTGTCTGGAAAATCCCATGGACAGAGGAGAGGAGCCTGGTGGGCTACAGTTCATGAGGTCTCAAAGAGTCAGACACGACTGAGCAACTAAGCACAAATAATATTCTACAAAATAATGAAACACTCTTCTTGAGGTTATCAAGGCCAAGAAGCATGACGAACTCTAGCTCGTGAAGGACTGCATTGCCAGGAAGTCAACTCAAGCTGTCTACGTAGTATTCTCATCGCAAACGGAAGTCAGTTCCCACACCACCATTCCCCGAATCCAGAGTGCATCTCTCTTTTTTTTCCCCCATCCTGATCCCCCCTCCCAGCTCCCTCAGAGTGCTCTCTTAGCTGTACAGAAGATAGACCTTCCTGGGGAGGGAGAGGGAGACATTATATCTACTTCCCCTCCTGAGCAAGAAAATTTGAATGTTACTACAATTGTTTTACTAGTCTATGGTAAGAGAACATACCACTAAGCAAAGGGCTCTCTAAACATGCCTTCATGCCTGATGGATCTAACCTTGATTCAGAATGGAGAGAAAATTTGCTGCCTATTTCCCTTGGACCCAGGAGGTTTACACAGCAGACTCTATTTTGGAAGCCACTCCAAAAGGAAACAATAAAATGACTGTCTTTTGCTCTTTTGAATCTTTCCAGAATTGCGACTTCTGGTGAGCCCTTCTGTGTGTCTGGATCAAAGTATACAATTAAAGCTGAGGACTTCAAGTCACCTTTTAAAAACACTGAAGTCGCATATGTGGAAACCAGGGGACTGGAGAAATGAACAGCTGTAAGCTAATCATCTTGAATTTTTACACCATGCATGCATTTTAGAAGATAGCCAATAAGAAAAAAAGCACTAGACACATCTAGGGGTTTTACATGTTTGAAGTTTTAGGTTCTGTTACATAAATTTTCAACTATCTCTTCTTAATAAAGAATGCCACAGTCTATTTTCTTCTAGACTAATTCAAACCTCTCTTGCCATAGAATAAACATTTGGGTAAATAGGACTCTTATCTAGAAAGTTATGTTAATGGAAATTGAATTTAAAAGCTTGACAGTGTGAAACTATAAAATTTTAACTTCCATTTTATATTCAAATAACACGCCTTAGTCTATGAGTATGGCTGAATGATTTTTTTCTAGTTATTTTTTTAGGGCTCTAAGGAAACAACTGTAGGGTACCAAGTTACTTAAGTTGCTTCCAGGGAAATGATTTTGTCATGTAGATAAATTACAGTGAAAAACTAAGAGATTTTAATTATCTTATTCAAGGCACAAAAGAGTTTGCCTCATGTCATTTTATAATTTTTAGGTAGTATTTGAAGAATCATATGCATTTCTGCTTATGTAGACTTCAGAAGATGAAATAGCACTCTCTTTTCATTGCCTGAACTTAGATAATTGGAATACAGAAATAGGGTGCAGAAGAGAAAATAGCTATACATTCTGGTTGAAGAAGGAAATGGCAACCCACTCCAGTATTCTTGCCTGGAGAATTCCATGGACAGAGCAGCCTGGTGGGCTACAGTCCACAGGGTCGCAAAGAGTAGGACATGACTGATGGATTCACACACACACATACATTTTGGTACCATTTATGATGGATGTGGGCTTCCATGGTGACTCAGATGGTAAAGAATCTGCTTGTAATGCGGGAGTCGCAGGTTCGATCCCCGGGTCAGATAGATCCCCTGGAGAAGGCAACGGCAACTCACTCCAGTATTCTTGCCTGGAGAATTGCATGGACAGAAGAGCCTGGCAGGCTATAGTCCATAGAGTCGAATCTCAAAGAGTAGGACACAACTGAGAGGCTAACACACATACACACGTGATCAAAGTCTATTTGCTTCATCACAAAATATTCAACTAGTGTTTTTTTTTTTCCTTTTTTAGACTGAGGTGTTTCCTGAAACTTCATCCCTTAAATTAACCCTTAATGATCAAGTGGTGTAGATTATTGCATGCATGCATGCTCAGATGCGTCAGTCGTGCCCAACTCTTTCCAACCTCATGGACTGTAGCCCGCCAGGCTCCCCTGCCCATGGGGATTCTCCAGGCAAGAATACTGGAGAGGGTTGCCATGCCCTTCTCCAGGGCATCTTCCCAACCCAGGGATCCAACCTGCGTCTCTCATGTCTCCTCATTAGCAGGCAGGTTCTTTACCACTAGCGCCACCTGTGGATTATAAGTAGAATAAAATTAGTGGGGAAAGTATTCTGGCATATTTTTCATGATCTGTCCACTACTCAGAAACAATATTTTGTAGAGGAAAAGATAGAGTAAAGGTAGACAAGGGCAGAACAGGAAGATTTCAGGGGTTTCCTAAACTTTTATTTGTACCTCTTTTGTTGGGATGGTACCAGATGTGACTAATGTAACATTTTTTTTTAGATCTTTAAGCCTTATTTTTGGTATTATTTTAGCTTTTGTTTAGGGAAGCCCATACACTGAAGGCTGGGATCCAAGGAGCGAAAGATAGGATGTACAAAGTGCTGAGGTAATTTACAAATTACATACTCACTCCAACTTATGGAGCTTTAATTATGTTTTGTAATTTTTAGGAATCAAACCACAGCCCTTGCTCCACAAGAAACACTCTTGAGAGCCAAAGATTTATCTGTAATTCTTAAAGCATATGTACTGGTGACATCCCTAACTCCTCTCCGTGCATTCATTCATTCGACCGGCACAGTTTGGAATCTACCAAAGAAAAAACGCTTCACTGTCAAGGTAAAATTTCCATCGAAGCAGTTATTTTCCCACAAAGTATACTGAAGATAAGTAAAGTGAGTTGGGCTGCCTTTTTTTGACCTTTATGATTATCAACTCCCATGGAACAAAGATTGTATCATTTTATTGCTGCAAGCAGAGATTTTCATTTAATAAGTGTAGTTCAAAAATCACCTAGAAACAGCTTCACTCGGGATCACAAAGGCTACATCTTTTTTTTTTTTTTCCCCCTCAGTTTATCATTTTAGTCAGTTCTTTGACCCATTATAAAGCTAGTTTTCAGCTATGGTCTGTTTTTCTTGACTTGACTTTCTACTTAAGAAAAATGTAGTCACTGCAACAAAGGAAAATATAGTTTTGCCCTTATGCTTTTTGCTTTATTTTTAGGAAGCATAGTGCCTATTTCATTTTGGCATTCAACATGGAATATTTGTTGAGTAAAAAACAACTCTCTCAAGGATGCCTGACATAGTGAGCCCTGATATAAAGCATGATGAGAAAGTTTTCAGGGAAGAACTTAATAATAACCTCCAAAAAGCTTAGTTATAAGAGGTAATTCAGCTTAGCTCAGTCTAGTAAGTGTATATTTGATAAATTTTAAGGAGTTTCTGGTTTTACAGAAATAATTGTTCAGATCTAAGGTAAGAGGAAATATATAATGCTTTCTTTCAGTTTCCTCCCACTTCCTCTTATCTGTTTTCTGAACAATTACTTCTATAAAATCAAACGCAATGCCTTCAAAGAACAAATACCACACAATCCCACTTACAGAAGGAATCTAAACTAGTCAAACTCACAGGAGCAAAGAATAGAATGGTGGTTACCAGGGGCTGGAGAGGTGTTAGTCTAAGGATATAAAATTTCAGTTATGCTAAATGAGTCCTAGAGATTTATATACTTACAGTATAGTGCCTATAGTTAATAATACTGAGATTTGCTAAGAGGATAGATTTTAAGTGTTCTTATCACTAAACAAATAAATAGGTAGGATGGAGGAAAACTTTTGGAGGGGATAGATATGTTTATAACTTGATTGCTGTGATGGGTTCATGGGTGTATACATATCTCTAAACTCATCATCTTGTATACATTAAATATGTACAGATTTTTGTATTCTAATCAGAGTAAAATGGTTTAATAAAAAGAGAAGGCACAAGTGCCTCTTATAATTTCAAGAGATTTAAAAGTGGCTATAATTGATACTTTTTAGAAGTTATCTTACATAAACTACACTTTAAGTTTTGGAAAATCTTCCAACAGTGAAAGATTTTTAAAAGATATGTTTAAATATTGTCGATGAAAAAACAGATAAGCATGATAAAAGATGCAAGGGTTACATTGCTTAATAAAATAGATAACTGATATTGTAAGGAAATGGTACTGATGACTTAGGTCTTAAGAGTAGTTACATTTAAGGACAATAATCAGTGTATTATATCAGTATATATTATTTTTAATTAATCATGAAAAACTGGAATCTAATTTGGTTTGTCTTTTGTGTTATCTCCTACAAGTCTTCACAGTGGCTATTTATATTCCCTAAGAACCTTTAATTATTCTCCAGTTGCCCTTTTCTGTTAAATTGAATTGTTTGAAATTGCTGACAATTGTGACCTACAAAAAATTACAGTTTCCTATGATTCAACCAAGTAATTGGAACTTGGATATAGAAAGATACAAGAATCATATTCCTCAATTCACGTCACATTCATATATTTGGCAAATATTTGTTAAGCAGAGACCAGAACCCCTGTCATTGTAGAACTTGAAATATCTGTGCATGCAGTCCTCCTCTCTTGTTTTATCTATACTATTTATTACATTTTATTCCCAATTCCCACTTCATTCTCCTTCCCCTCAAGTGTGAGTTACTCAGTTGTGACCAACTCTTTGTGACCCCATGGACTGTAACCCACCCAGATCCTCTGTCTGTGGAATTCTTCAGCAAAGAATACTGTAGTGGGTTGCCATGCCCATTTCCAGGGGATCTTCCTGACCCGAGGATCAAACCTGGGTTTCCCGCATTGCAGGCAGATTCTTTACCGTCTGAGCCCAGGGAAGCCCCTCAAAGGCCATCATTATAAAGACAATGTGTATCTTTTTGTGCATATTTTTGTAAAATAAGCTTCTTTATTTTGTTATGCATGTAAGCATTTTTAGTATATAAGATGCATTATATTAGATAATTTTTTTCTAAGCTTTTTTAAAAAAAATTGCAGCACTGCATACTTTTAGGGAGAAACTGCTGTGTGTACATCTTCTGTGTTACTTTTCACTGATTTATGGTATTGCTAATGTGTATTCCATTGTATTTTACCTATCCACAGCTCCAGTGATAGACATCCTGATTGCTTCAACTCTTGGCTGAAGCAAACAATACTTCAAATGTACAAATCCTTCTGTTTGACTCTTTATGAACCTGCATATCATTTTCCGAAGAATACATACCCAGAGCTGGGTCGTAAAATAGGGGTTCATTTGATAGAATTAAATGATGCCAGTTTTCCCTTCAGAATGCATATATCCATTTCCATGCCCCAACAATTAGGCCAATATTTGACCTTTTCCAGCTGTGTCAAGTGAAAAGTGGGAACTCATTCTTGCAAATAGCTCAATTTGTCATCTATTAACTTTATTACAGTGTTCTGTTTTGACTAGAAATCTTCAGCTGATTAATCAAATTAATTTTTTCCTTATGGTTCTTCTTCAGAAATTTGGTCTCAGAAATCATTTCTTATCTCTTAAGTCACAAAAATGTGCTTTTCCATTTTTTCCCATTACCTTTATAGTTTTTTCTGGACATATAAATATTTAATTCAGTTAGAGTTCTACCTCTAATGCAGTTTTTTTTCTCTATGTAATTGATTCTCATGAGCTAAAAACTTATCATTCCCTATGAATCTGACATCACTTGTATTGTATAAGATTCCACCTGTATACAGGGATGCCTCTAGGATTTCTGTTCTGTTCCAGTTGGCCCACTTATATTTATTATTTTGGCAATATAAATATTTATTCATGCCTGACAGGGGAGATTCATCTTTTTTGCTTTTTCTTTTCAAGATTAGGTTAACTATATGGTAGACATTTATTTCCTTATAAACATTTTAGAATATCAAGTACAACTTTTTAAATCCTACTGAAATTTCAATCTATAATAACATTGAATTTATAGTTTAATTTTTGAAGAATTGATTTTCATAATATTAAGTCTCTCTGTTATTCAGGTCACTTTATTTGTCCTTTGTTAGAGTTTATTATTTTTTCCTCCACAGAGATCATATATAGTCTTGCTTAAGTTTACTTCAAGATTCCCTAAAGTATTTTTTGATATTGGTTTTTAAATTATATTTTCCAGTTGGTTGTTATTAGGATAGTGCGTACATGCTAAGTTTCTTAGCATTGTCATTGACTCTTTGCAACCCTACTGTCTGAAGCCTGCCAGGCTCCTCTGTCCACAGGATTCTCCAGGCAAGAACACTAGAGTGGGTTTGCATTTCCTTCTCCTAGGGGGTCTTCCTGACCCAGGGATCAAACCCACGTCTCTTTTGTCTCCAGCACTGGCAAGTGGGTTCTTTACCACTAGTGCCACCTGGGAAGCCCATTATTAGGATATTGTGGGCGAATTCTTTCCCATCTGAGCCACAAGGGAAGCCCATTACTAGGATAGAGAAATCCTATCCTAATAGAAGTTTTTAGAATAGAACTTCTGTTTGATAAACTTGTTTCAGTAAGTTCACTATCGATATCACTGGTTTTACGAGGTGTTTTATCTGCGAATAAGGCCATGTTAATCTCTTTTCCCTTTATTTCTTAGCTATCTTTTCTTCTTCCTTTTTTTTTTTTCCTTTTTCTTGACTAATGTTGTCCAGGATAGCCAACACTATCTTTAAAAGTAGAATTGATAGTGTTCTTGAGTTGAGTATCTTTTAATATGAACACATCTCAGGTTTCTCTGTTAAGTAAAATGCTTACAGTAGGCTTTTGGTGTTTAAGCTTTACAATCTCTGCCAAAGCAAGGAGAATAGTACAGTTAACTGCAGTGGGTCTGTCATTACATTTCAGTTAATTATGGTTATCCTCATGTTTATCTGGTTGTATTTTGTTGCTAGATTTTCTTTTGATAAAACTTCCCTGCATAAATGAGAGAAAACCTGCTTGATTATTCTGGACTGTTTTCAATATTCTGTTGGATTTATTTACAATTTTTATACCTATGTTCATAAATGATGTAGACTTATATTTTCTTATGTTTCTCATATGGTTTTTATAATTTACAGTATTTCTAGCTTCATAAAATTAACCTGGATAACGTTCACTCTTTTTCAGTTTTTTGGATCAGCTTATATAAGAGAGGAATTAGATTGCCCTCAAGAATTTGGTACAAGTCTCTTGAAAAAAATACATTTGAAGGGTTTTTTAAAAACAGCATTGACATTTCAATTTATTGAAAACATTTTGGTTGATTTTAAGTTTTCAATTTCTTCATGTACAGTTTGGTAGTTTTGGGGAGGGGTTACCAATTTAATCGAATTTTTAAATTCTTTAGTATATAGTAGATTATAATGTTTTTATTTTTATATCTGTTGTGTTTACAGCTATTTCATCTTTTTCAGTTCATCCTTTGTAGATAAGCATTATGCATTTTCTTCTTATTTTCCTATTAAAATTGTCAGAAGTTTTTCTGCTGGTTGGTTAAATCTTTTTAAAGAAACTAGTTTTTTACTTTGTTAATTTTTTAAATCATTCTGATGTTGTTGTTCCCAGTTTCACAGATTTATGCTGTTATTTGCATCATTTCTTGGCTGCTAGTATTGTTTGCTCTATTGTTCCTTTTTAGTTCCTCATTTGAATGTTTGCCTCCTTTATGCTTAACATTTTTGTTTCCTAGCAAAAATGGCTAAAGCCATGCATTCCTTTTATGTCCTGCTTTAGTCATGTCTCATAAATTTTGAATTATCTAATTCTAAATACTTTTTAATATTCTTTATGATTGCCTT